CAGCGGCGAGAGGCGAAGAAGAGAGGCTGAGAATGGCCTACCTCTCAGACAGTGAGGACGGCCGGAGCGCTCTGGCGAAAGGGAGGAGAGCCCAAGGCGCGACCAGCCGATCCCGAGCAAATCGATCGAGGACATCCGGGTGAGTCCCAAGATGTATGAGGTAGTGATCCGTGCTCCGTGATCGACTTGTCGGGCCCGGCTCACAGCATTGCTTGATTCAGGTTGATCCTGGAGTTTGATCAGCCCCGTGTTCGTCACCGGATTAAATTTGAAAGTGCATCGGCTGAAGACGCCCATAATCTTCAGGCAAGTGGATGGAACAGTGGTGGGGGGAGGTGCGGTCCGCTACTATACAGAGGCTTTTGAGTTAAAAGTCGGAACGCATCGGGAGACTTTAAAATGCCTGGTCGCGCCGCTGGGTAGTTACCCCCTCATTCTGGGAATGTCCTGGCTGGAACGGTTGGACCCCCGCATCAGCTGGTGGGAAAAGACTCTGACCTTTCCGGATGGCGGGCATGGGATTGCGAAGGCGGAGCCCAACCAACAAGGGGAGCTGGGGTCAGCAGTCCTGAATGAGCAGTGCCAAGGGAGGAAGCCCCACGTGGGGGGAGGGGAGGAAATCCCCTGGCAATATAGGGACTTGGCGAAAGTCTTTAGCAAAGAGGAATCCGACCAACTACCGCCACACCGCCCCACAGACTGCGAGATTGAGATGGTGCCGGGAGCGAAGTACCCAACCCCAAAGATGTACTCAATGATCCAAAAGGAAATGGGGGTGTTGAGGGAATTCATTGACAAAAACTTGAGCCGGGGCTTCATAGTGCCTGCCAAATCCCCCTTGGTGGCGCCAGTACTTTTCAGAGAAAAGAAAGATGGGACTTTACGTTTATGCACAGACTATAGGGGGTTAAATGCAATATGCACAGAGAACAAGTACCCTCTGCCATTAATGAAAGACTTGTTAGCCCATTTGGGAAAAGGAAAGATTTTTACCAAACTAGATTTGAGAGAGGCATATTTCCGCGTGCGGATAAAAGCTGGGCATGAATGGAGGACCGTATTCTGCTGCGCACTGGGACACTATATGTATCGAATTCTCCCATTCAGATTAAAAGGCGCCCCCGGGATATTCATGCAACTGATTAATGAGGTCTTGCACAAGTTCCTCTACCGAGGAGTGTTGGTGTACTTGGATGACATTTTAATCTACACCGAAACTATGGAGGAACATGTGAAATTAGTCAGGAAGGTGTTGGAGAAACTGCTAAATGCGCAGTTGTATGCAAAACTATCCAAATGTGAATTCCATAAAGATTGCATTGACTATCTGGGGTACAGAATATCTAATAAAGGAATGGAAATGGACCCAAATAAGGTCCGGAATGTCCTAGCATGGGAGGCCCCGAGAACCAGAAGACAACTGCAAAGTTTCCTTGGCTTTGCCAATTTTTATAGACAGTTTATTCCTAATTTTGCACAAGTAGCCCTCCCTTTGACTGATCTTTTAAAAATGAAGGACAAACCCACGGCAGCAGCAAAAGCTCCAGGGGCCTCTTTAAAATGGACAATAGAATGTCAGGAGGCTTTTGAAAGCCCCAAGCAATTATTCACTGCTGAACCCATCCTGAAGCACCCAGACCCAGCAAAGCCTTTTGTTATTCAGGCCGATGCCTCAGATGTAGCAACTGGTGCAGTCCTCTTACAAAACGATGGAGAAGGAGTGTTAAAACCATGTGCTTACTTATCTAGAAAGTTCACTGAAACTGAGAGGAGGTGGCTGGTGTGGGAAAAGGAGGCTTTCGCAGTGAAATGGGCTTTAACAAATTGGAGACATTTGCTGGAAGGAGCAGAGGAGGATTTTGAGGTTTGGACAGACCATAAGAACTTGGAAGCTTTGACATCACCCCGAAAGTTGCCTCCTAAACAAATAAGATGGGCGCAATTCTTCAGTAGATTTAATTTCACTTTAAAATACATCACGGGAGGGCGGAATTT